AGAACCATTCATTGCCCCGACACCCAATCCGCCCACCAGCCCCCACAACTAACTCCAACTAAACTTCTACAATGAGTATGATCCATAACACTCATCTGAGGAAGGTAGGTTCTTCATATACTGTTTTTGACTTGGAATGTGCACCATTGAGAACTCCATGCAGCTGAGAAAAACATTTAGCTTTGCACATGCACTCCTGATGACTTCCAGGAGGAGCTGACATCTCAAAACTTTCAACCTAAAAAATGCACAGGCATTGGTGTTCATCACTCTGTTTAAAACTTTTGGTGGCTTTCCATGGCTTTCTAATTCAAGTCTCAATCTCTTGGCTTGGCCCTTCAGACTATCTATTTCCTGAGGTCTCATCTAAGGTTTCTTCACCTCCTCTATAGGATCGTGTCACCAGAGACAAAATGGCCTATGTAATGAAATCCCGTTCCCACCAATGAGCTATGGACCATTAAGTCACCTCTTCCTGGAAAACCTTCATTCTCTACATTTCTCCAGCCATCTATTTCCCTTTGAAATACCTCTAAAACCCATCAAGCACTATATCACTCTGCATTCTTCCCAAACTATATGATTCAATACAATCTCTCCTTCCTTTCCACCCAGAGCACTATCTCTTGCCACCACATACCTGCACCTGGCTGATGGTGCTTGAAATTGCTGTTTATATCATTTTGTTTTTGCTCTTTCTTCCTAGCTCCTAGATGCATTTCCTGGCTTGGCCTGTCTTTAAATACTTAAGTCTCGGGCCCTTTTTCAAAAAATGAAGCAAAATAGGAAGGTCTGGTACAGATAGTCTAACTCAGCATTCCTCCCCCAGTCTAACTACATGAGGCTGTGGTACAATGCAGACTCTAACTGGTGTTCGGCAAACGGGTTGCCGCTTCAGGACACATAGTCTCCTTTCCCTCTGTACATGTTCCAGACGAGCTTGTCAGAGCAATGGCAAATTAGGCTCTGTAGTTCTTTGGGAAATAAAATTAAAGATAAAAGTATAGGCTGAACTGTCTTATTTTATGGCAATTTTAAAAATATGAACAACTGGTATTACATGGGCAACAACCAACTAGAGCAGACTTCACCTAAAAAACCAATATGGCCACGCTCGTATAAGCTGGCTGGAAATCATTTCTAATTACTCTTCTCTCATTAATAAATCCAAAGGGCCATATCACCACTTTATATGATCATGGGATTTAAGTGACAAATCATCTCTGCTGGATAGAAAACTAAATGCGCTTTGGGAACATGGGGTGAGTAGGGGAGGGGCAGAAAGGGAATTTATCAGATGAGTTATAACTGAAATCTCAGTTCCCTTTGATTTTTAAAGAGAATGAGTCAAGCCCTAAATAGTGAAGTTCCTTTGAAGGACCACAGTGATATTACTACCATTCCAAAAGCCACAAAGAGGAACAGAATAGTGAATAGACAGACTATAGGGACAGAAGAGAAAATGGACAGATTCTACCATGGAATGCCATGTCCAAGTTGAAAGCATCTGTTTGGTCTCCTGTGAGTAGGCTGATGATCAAACCAATTGATTTGATATTCTTTTTCCCCTCTCTTCCTACCTTTCTTCCTCATTTTGCTCTTTCCTTCCTTCCTTTCTTTACTGAAGTTCTCATTGAAAGTGAAGAATGGTAGACCAAAATTTGACTTATGAATGGAAGAAAAGAAATCAAATGAACAGGACAGGAAATGAAGTGAGAAGATGGGTTGCTTCCTAAACCCCAGATTCACCTGTGGAAATAAAAATGAGGAAAAAAAATCACAGGAATCTAGGGGTCATGAGACTCTAACTACAATTGAAAAGTGGAGATACGGGTTAGAGATGAATGGATTGACTGGAACTGCGCTTGGAGCCAAGAAAAGGGCAGGCAGAGCTGAGATGGAAAAGAAAATCCTAGGAACAAACAGAGAAGTCTGACCTGATGTGACCCAGGAGAACCTGAATTTTGAAACTGCATTTTGAACCTAAGGAGACTCCAAAGTATGAAGCAGAGGCATGAACTTAGCTTCCACATGTCCAGAGCAAAAACTGTACACCAGGAGTACTGCTTGGGTGCTGTAACAAGAGGCCTATCAGCACAGGACAAGATTGTCTCCAAGGTCTATTCTAAGGCTCCCACTACTATCCTAACTCACATCCTGCCAGGTCTGAAAGGCACCTTAGGGCCATTTAGGTGAATCACTCTCATTTACAAATGAGGTCCCTAGGACTCTGATGGTTTCATGAATATTCTCCAAGTTCATAGCTAGTTATTTGCAGATGTAGCTCTTGAACACTCATATTCAACCCCAAGTAAGGAAGTTGTACTCTTTTGCCTTTCAACATGAAAATAATCCCCAATTTTCTTATGCTTTTATGTTTATGCTTTCTTAGGCTTTATCTCTTTTCCAACTTGAACCAAATAGTCTTAATCCCCTGTTGTTTTAAGTCTTTAATTAAATTCTGTACAAAATACATCATAAGATGCCCCAACCTTTGAAAGGAAAGAGCTCTGGTGTTCCCCAACATGGCTTAGTCACAATCACTTATCTTTAAAATCTTTTATATTAGTTCAAGGTGACATTTTGAAATGTAAAATTGCTTAGATGAAAGTAAAAGTTTTCTTAAAAAGAAAGATGATGATGGTGATAATGTCTTTGTAAACAGGTGATTTCCACTTCTTAAATAGCCTCTTGATGGATCTTTGATTCCCAACGCACCCAAGAGACTTTAGTTTGGGTAAGGACTTTTCTGGAACCCTGAACTGGGATGGGAGATCATAGTCTTACAAGACAGATGGTACCAATGATGACCATCATTGGTCTATACTTAATTTAGTCAGAAAAATGGGAATGGTTCTGTCATAGTGGGGTTGAAAGACGACCTCTTCCTGGCCAGAAAAGTCAACACATTGAAACTAATCAGGAAGCCCTAATATTGGGTTGGGCCCTTCAGTGGTCTTATAATCTTGTTTCTGTTCTTGTGTCACTTTGAACCTACCAGGCACCAGTTTTTGCCAAAGGAGCCACCAACCATTTTTGCATACTTCCTCAAGAAAACAAAAAAGCTCATTTTTATTTTCTGTATCAGAACAAATTTTTACTGAATTTATCAAAAGCAAAACAGCATGAGCTTGCTACTTTACCATAGAAGAAAATAAGATTCTTGCCAGTTAGTTTTTGGGGCAGCCCTTTGCGATAGGAAGCCATTTTAGCCATTTTGGTCAAAAGAAAAAAAAAAGTTTTCTTTCAGCAATACTTGAATGGAAAGAAAAGGAAAGGGGAAGAAAGAGAAAAGTAAAGCAAAGGAGTTTAAATCCAAATCTCTAGCCAATCAGGTCTTGGAGTTTTCACTTGTGTTTTCAGAGTGACTTGGTGTGGAGAGATGGGTTCGAGAAGCACAGGACACTGTTTCTCTAAGGGAAGATCCTTTAGGTGGCCACCATTGCCTGCCAGAGGACACCAAACAGTTATGACAAATTCAGAGATGGTTATCAGGAAACAGCGTGAAGAAGAGCCCACCAGGGTTCATGAAGGAAAGAAGAGCGTGGGTTGGTGTGAACGTACCAAGGTGACCCCAATGCAAAATCATTATGTAGAAGAAGGCCTAGCTTTCAGGAAAGTTGTGAAATCCAAACAAAGGATTCACCCCCACAAACCTGTTTTACTTCTGTTAGAAACCAGGAAATGTTCATAAGCCCGGATATAGACTGCTGACGTCATTTTAGTCATTTTAGTAGACTGGTGATTGGTTATAAGTAGTTTTTTAACAATCCAATTGGACGTACATTATATTCACGATACTTTTATAGAACTACTTCTACAAAATGTGACAACAGGGTAACCACAGTCTGACAAGTCACTTCAGGACAGTGCCTATAGGGCAGAAGCACGACTACATGGGCTCTGCAGGGAGTAGACAGGGGCAGAAGCTCATTTTGCCTACACTGGTCATTGGAGTACTTAGTGGACGTATGTTTTCATGGTGATTTCATTGCTTGGCTCTGATCTGAGCTGCACTAATATCCTAAGTACCACAGGGTCATGGCCTAAAGAATTAATGGAGGAGATACCATGGGACTTTGGGGGGGATATTTTGGTAAGTTTGGTTTCTTCAAGTGTCCACAGTTTACATTTTTAAGAAAAGAAAAATCACTATCACATCCATGCTTCTCCATAGACCCTGATGACTATATAAAAGATTGATCATTTTGAAGTTGAAAGATTTGCTAAATCGTTTGGAACATAACAGTTGCCGGGACGACTAGACACCAAGCATGCAAGCCACAGCAGAGCTCTGAGACTTGGTAATTGTGTCTGATGGCTAGAAAAATCTTTGAGCACAGTTGGAAGTGGCTGAGACATTTGATTTCATTGCCGGTCATTTTCAAAGGCCTTTTCTAACAGGATTGAGTGCATTCATTGCTTTCCTTTTGTCGTTATTATGTTTTACACCGTTGCAGCAAGTTTGTGTGTTTTGTCCCAACAACTAAAGGAAAGCCTGAAAAAATAAAATGAAATCTGGGCAAAAGTAGTCTCCTTGATCATGAAAATGTTTCTGGCTTTTAAACAAAAACTCATCAAAAAGAACGAACGTGTTATCATATCCTGTTGTGAAGTGAAACTATCCACTGGTGTTTACACACTTTCAGGCTAAAAGCTCTGAGACTTGGAGCGTGGGGAAAAAGTCCACCAAACCCTTCCAGAATTGAAATTCCTGTACTTGTGAGGGTGGTTTGGACATAGGAAATGGGAAGCATAACCGCATGGAGGAGTCCCCACCATTCACACAACAAACGGAGCAGTATCTCATGTGTTATCTAGTCCTCAACGTCAATGTCCCAGGCGTGCTCACAACCCTCCTGGCATTGTTCATTGGCCGGATCAACCTCATCTGGTAATTGTAGAAAAGCTGCAAGAAAGTCTTTCCTTCAAATATACGAACAAAGGGATGAGCAATACAGAAAAAACTAAAGCTACAAAAATATGACTTTCAACTGAGAAAATAAATAAGTTTCCATTTATTAAGAGCTGGTGTCAGTGCAGCTAAGATACAACACCCATCCAGGAAATTCACCTGCCCCCCTTTTTGTCTTCTTTTATGAATTTACTAAAATACATGTTTACATCATTGGACAATTTGAAAATTGTTTTAGTAATCCATTGGCCTTCATTACAATTAATTGTGGTGGTGACCATCATTCTCCTCAAAGGAAAAGAGAGAAAGAAGAGAAAGATGTATTAAGGAGTCTGGCCACTTACTCATGTTGATTTTGCATTGTTTAGATACAGGGAAGATATTTGACAATGAAAAAAAGAAAAGAAAAAATATATTTCTTTCTAATAAATAAAAATAATTTAAAATGCTAGAGGCTATACATGACTATTTTAGTATGTTCATTTATAAATGAAATCATTTTCTTTTCCAAAATACATGGAAGCAATATTCAAGGCAGACAAAGAGAAAGATCTGTCTACTTTATTTTTCTTGCAATTCTCACTTATCCTAACGTCTCCACCAGTGATTCAGCATGTAAGAGGAAGAAAAGTCACGTCACCATTTATGAAGTTTGTCAGGCTTTAAAAAAATAGTTCTGGTCTCCTGGGAGTCAACATTCATCTTCAACTTCTCTGATTGGTGGAATCAAGCTGCTTGTGGATTTATATTGGTTGATCTGGTTAGCCATGTGGGTACTCATGGGCTTGATTTGAATGTTTCTGGGATAGGCATTATCCGGTTCATCTGTAAACCATTTCTTTTCTGCTAAAGGGCAAAACGGATAGAGAACAAGAAGGAGAAATGAGAAGCTTAATTAGTCCTAGGGTAAAGCCTTTGGAAAGTTCATTGAAAAAAAAAATGCAAAACTGTAATCGATAGAAGCTGACAGTGAGTAGTTGCTAAGAGATAGTGCAGTGTAGGGAGAACCCCAGAACGTGGGACACCTCTGCTGCCTGTGGCAAGTGATGGACCAATGCATCCTTGGGACTTGGGGGCAGCAAGGGGGCACCTCTGAGCATGAGGAGGGGTTGGAAGAGGAGCTCCAGCAATGTTCTCCGGGGTTCTTTTAGTGGTCTGGAAAGCTTTGGTGGGAAGGAGATGCTGAGTATATCAAATATTGGCCATGAACATTGTGCCTGAGGAAAGATTTGTGCATTCACGGATTTGAGTGGAACATAAAGGACATTGTCCCTGACAGAGAGCCAGTGATCTAGCATCTTAGGCAGGATCTCCTCATCTCAGCCTGTACCTGGCTTTGTTACAGACATACTTCAAGTTATAGCTCAATACACCATTCTTCTTATTTTTTTCTTTTTCTTTCTCTCTCTTTTTTTTTTTTTTAACCAGCCAGTTTTGAGGGTCTTAAAGTAAGCCCACAGATTGTGCTGGACAATGAGACTAAACATCAGAATAACAACCAAAGTTTGAAGAGGATTTTGAGATGGCTTTTATTTCATGAAAGAAAACTCTGTGTTGGTATAAAGTTAGGGAAGGAATTCCTAGTGGCAATATCTTAACCGACTATAATAACCCAAGCTGTTGACAAGGGAGCTTGACCAAGTCTTGGCATTTCATTTCCACTCTAAATACAGAGATGGCTGAGAGAATGCTGAGTCAGAGGACTGGGTGGGGTGGGGGGGGGGGGGTTTGTGCCAGTGGTGGGGGGGGCGCTGAGGGTGGGGGGTAGAAAATGGCCTAGCATCCTCTCAGCATTTCAGTGCTGTTTTACACAACTCGGCCTCGCCCCTGCCTTTTTCTAGGATTGAAACTTTCTGGATAACTGACCCTGTGTTCAGACATGAAGAGACTGGGCAAATTGGACATTCTAATTTGAGAGTCCTATTTGTGGCTTAGGAAAAGAAAAGAAAAAGGGGAAAAGCTTTCAGGCACACCCACGGCTCTAAAGACAATGGCCTCATTGCTGCCTATCAGAACAAGTCACAACAGCCTGGTCAGGGGTCCCGGACTGATCTGTTAACCAAAATCGCTCACCTGGCTAGATAGAAGAGTGCGTGGAGGTACATGCGCATGTGTGTTTTTACGTCTGTACGTCTGTCTGTCTGATAGCCTAATGATCTATAAATTCAACACCTGCCGTCAGCTCACAGCCACTCTGCTGCTTTCTGCTGGATGCGTCCTCTCTCCTGCTGTGTCAAGTCTGAGCCCTCAGTGTAAACACTGTCGCTGGAGCTGGGGTGTGCCTCCATGAGAGCCTGCTCATTACCCTTTGTTCCACAGCTCAGTTAACCCCCAGGAAACTACCTTCTCTCCCATCATTCTCCGTTCCCCTTTCTCCTGCTCTGGCCCTCTCACCTATTATAATTAAGTTCACTTTGATTTGAACAGATTGGACGATAGGAATTCATAATGCTACATCCTCACAGTGAAACTAACTGATTAAGTGCTTTAAATTATTCCCCCTGACAGAATGATAAAGTTACAATCTGTTCTGAGATGATCTACAGCTTGCCAGACTCCTACAGCTTCTTTCTACATTCATTTATCTTTTTGTCAAGCAGAGTTTTTTTTTTTTTCCTAAGCTTCAATTCCATAGATCTTTTAAAGTCATCAGCACATCTGAATTATTAATGAGGCTTTAGAGGCAAGGTTCCTGATGGACTGGTTAAAAAAGGTTGTATAGAAATCCAGGACTGTGTACACATCAAAATAATTTCAGCTCCATTTAAAAAACCATTTAGTTCAAGTGTGACATAGATGAACCATTATGCATTTGTGGAAACCAATTTTTTGTGATCTACGATTAAACTAACCTTTCAGAGAGGAGTAGAGTGTGATGGTTATCATGTTTTAAAAGCATTGCCAGGCCGCTGAAACAATTTCAAACTCCGACTTTTTCCAATGGTTTATGTGTAAAGATGGTTTTCAGAAAAGCAGACCCAGGCGTCTGTGCTGTTTGCCTGAGCTGCCCTTGGTTTTGGCTGTGGCACTGCGGGGACTGATTGTGCAAAGGGATTTAGTGCTAGGCTGGACATGCCAGGTTGGAAAGGAAACTGAACTCTGCTGATGGAAACGAGTAGGTCTTTTGGGCGAAAGACCTAAGACAGCTGCAATTTGCTGAAATTTTTACAACTGCTGCAGAGAATAATTGTTCAGAATTTAGTCTTTACAGTTCAATTCAAAGTTGGCATTTTGACCTTTTGCAGCAGAGAGAATATCAATTTCCTTCTGCTGTCAGTAAGAAAGAGAGCATTATTTCCCCGTTTAAGCTTCATTCTCTCTTTCCTTCTACACTTCTTGCCATAGGAGAAAATCTATGCAGAGTAGTCCCTGTGTTTTGGCCATTCAGCTTCCACACAAGAAGGAGTTATGTTCCGGCACATCCTGGTAATGAGTCGAGGTTTTCATTATGCCTGAGAAACAGGCTTTTTAATTTGGGTGCCTTATGAGATATAAATATGTATGTTGTTGGAGACTTGGTTGGATAGGATGTTGAGGAAATTGAAATATACCAATGCTCTGAGCATCCTAGTAAAATATCCAGGGGCAGAGGTATTTTATGAAGAGATTCTTCCCAAAGGGCATCAGAGGAGCACACACTTTAATGATCGTTACTCGTCTGCTTCAACAGAGAGTGCTTCAAGTAGGACTATGACACTTGGGTTTATTGAATCTCGCCTTCCAAAAAGAGACTGTGCCAGAGGAAGGCTACAACATTGGCCGGGAGGAAGAATACTCAGGGAAGGGATTCAAGTAAGTACTGAATATGTACTGTTGGTCCAGGATAAATCCAAATCCCTGAGTTTATCTCCTCTCCCTGCCTCATCCCACAGGCCAGAAAGATTTCTGGGAGCTTCATTTTTGTCCCTGGGACGGGAAGGGTGACAGATCTGGCTGTGAGGGCCTCCTCCCTCCAGAGAAAAATAGCCCCATTTGTTAACAAGCCTCTCTCGAGGCTGCTGAGCCTGACATCATCACAGCAAGGGTGGTGTGTGACCTGCCCAGATCAGTGATGGGAGGCGTGGCAGTCTCTGAAAATGGGCTAGTAACATGAGATACAACCCAGACACTGACTGCAGAGAGATGCTTCTAGAAGAACTGGCACTGTGGTCGGGAGACGGCACCTATGGAGACCAGCTGGGCCATGAGATACACACCAAGGACTGGCAGGGAGGCATGGGCTAGGGAGATGTCCTGGGGCAGGAGGGTAAGGTCAAAGGGATCTGGGGTCTCACACGGGAGTTGCATGGCTCCAAGCAAGTCACTGTGTAACTGAGCTCAGTTACAGCTTCTCTTCTATAAAAAGGACTCGTGATCAGATCTTCCTAACGCTGTTGTCTAGATGAAAGGGGCTAGTGCTGGTGCACCACTTAGCACAGGTCCAGATGCCTGGTAAGTAAGTGCAAGCTCTTGAGCATCTGTTAGTAATGGCAGCCGCCATGACGGCAGAGGGGCAGAGTTCATAGGCCAGTTTTCAATGCCATTCTGCCGCTTTGTGGCTGGATGACTTTGAACAAATCTGTCCTACAGATTCCTTTGAACAGAGAGGCGAACTGCGTGTACATCTGAGCTTGTGTGAGGATTGAGTGAGTTACTGCCTGTAAACTGCTTAGCAGAGTCTGGCACTAAGTGAGCGCTAAGGTGTTAGCTTGTCCTGTGAGGTTAGCAGGAACGTGAGTATTCTCAGTACTAAAGGGCTCCCGTGACGATGGGTGGTCCTTTTCCGTGTGGCCGCAAATGAGCTGGGGGAAGAGATCTAAAGGTCATAAACTGGGGTGTTGGCCTGCAGAACGGGGCTTTTGGCAGTAGAGACGACAGAGGAAGATTTGCTTGGGTTATCTTCGTTTGGAAGGAAATGAGAGGAAGGAGTGACCCAGTGTTCTTTCTGGTGAGTCTAGGGTTGCTGCCCTGCCGTGGGACCTGCATCCTTAAAATAATGGTTTTGTACTTAACAGGTGCCCTGCCCCACCCACAAGCCATCTGTGTCTACTTCCATTATGGAGATAGAAGGGTCCACGGTAAGAGCTACGACTTCCTCAAGCCACGAAGAGCCTGGAGGAGTGGGCTGTGGGAGGTAAGAGCCCCAGACCTGGGCTTCCCTGACCGCTTGGGTACCTGCAAGCAGAGAAACAGGCTGGGCTGTGAACACTGAGCCTCTTTGCTGGCTCCGTGGGTTGTCAGTGCCATGGGATTTCTCTTTTTCACATAACTGCTCCCCAGAGAAGAATGCGTGAAAGGAGAGACGATAATACAGCAAAGGTATTTGGAATAATTGGCCCTCTTCCTGCTGTACCACAAGCTGAGGTTTAGAGAGAAAGGGCTTGGAAAAGGTTCCATGTGGATAGAGACAACAGCCAAGAACGGTAAGCCCTAACCAGGAGCTGAAGCCTTCAAAGATAATGCTGGATGGTTTCACAGCTCACTTTTCCAGGAGGAAGGCTGGCATGTGCCCTCTGCCCCACACACCCCAAGACCCTCAGGGGATCCCACCCATGCATACTGCCTTCTTCCCTCTCCATGGGCAAAGTATGGCTATTTCATAGAAATGAAAACCATCCCTACCATAACCAAAGTAGCCTCCGTTTATGAAAACTGACACTTATTTGCAGTTGTCCGCCATGACTCTATTTGCCTCTTTTAACTAAAGTCTAATGCTGCCATTGGCTGGGCGGAGCAGACTGCCTGCTCTGGCCCTTTTCTGGGGACTTTGTGCGGCTGACACCCCAAAGACAGATTCTTCACTCTTCCCTTTCCCGTGGCAGGGGACCATTCCCTCTCCCCTCCCTATGCAATAGATGTGCAATCTGGTGGGAGACAGGCAAGCAGTTTAGTGACAGGTGCCCACAGCTTATTCTGCATCACCCTTTTATGACAAAGCAGGAATGGGCTGAAGAAGCTGAGTGAGACACTGATTTTTACCCTGTCTTGACTTCCCCGGGCCCCGAAGTTTCTATACGCTCTTCTTTATCCTTCAGGAGCCTGTTGCTATAGGAACCTGACAGGTTGATTTAATTGTCTCTATTGGGATGCAGACACCTTTAGGCTTTTCCCATGCTGAAGAAGAGCCAGTCAAAGGTTTTACTGGTCATCTGAGATCTTGACAGTGCTGGCAGGAGGCAAAGGCAGTACCTCTGTCTTGCTGTACTTATAAAGCTATTCTCCCTCTCAGCCGTGAGCCCAGCTCCAGAAAGTGCCAACAGCACAGAACATCAGGAAGCACCCAGGGAGCGTTCTTGTATTTTTTTTTTTTTTTTTTAAGATAAGGGAGTAAAGATAACTGATAACTTGATGAAAGGCCTGAAAATATTTAAGATAATTTATTTTAACATATTTACTGAGCATTTGTATTAAGGGTCTGGGTTACAACCTGTAATATTCAACAGAATTTGAAACTTCTCCCAGTTGTGGTAGAACTCTCTATATAAGGGTCCAGCTTTCTCTTTATCCATTTGAACTGGCTTCAGGAAGGACCCTGGGCAGCAGTCCTTAGGGATGTTGATGATTTTATGATCATCCGAGTGAGGGCTGAGGCTGAGAGCTTCACCACACCTCCTGGTCTACTCACTTATTTAAGGTTCAGGCCTGTCAAAGCCTAAAGCAAATTGGACTGAATGGCTTATAAATTGCTTCTCTTGTAGAAGGGTACAGATAATTGAGTTTCTAGCTGTTGGTCTTTTTAAATGCATATACTTTCTCTTCAAATAATTCTTTCACTTTCTACCTTTACTTTCTTCCTTCCTTCCTCCCTTCCTTTTTTCTTTCTTTTTCTTTCTCCTTCCTTCCTTCTTTCCTTCCTCCCTCTCCCTCCCTGTATGTCTTTTTTCTTTCTCTTTTCTCTTTTCCTTCTCCTTCCTTCTTCCCTCTCTTCCTCCCTTTCCTCCCTTCCTCCCTTCTTTCTTTTTCTTTCTTCCTTCTTTTCCTTTCTTTCTTTCTTCTTTCTTTCTCTTCCTCTCTTTCTATGTCATCCTTATTCTTTTCTTTTTTCATGGGGAGCAAGAAGGGGAGAGACATAGTATGAGAACCTGTGTGCTTCCCTTCTAAAAGAACCTGAAAGGGGAATGAGGCAGTTGGGAGTCACATGGAAAACAACGGAGGAGACTCTTGGTTCTAGTGAGGAAAGTACAACAGAGTAGTTTCAGCTAGTAGAAGAGAGGTCATGATACCTATTCATCATTGAATGTATCATTAGCCACATACTACAGTCAACTCTCAGTTGTGTGCCCAAAGTCCCGGGAAAATTCCAAAGTTTCATCTTATGTCACAGTCTGTTCCCATTCCATTCCTGTCCCAACATCATCTCATCAGAGCTGCTAACAGATTGTATATAAAATGCGTTTTAGAATTACTTCCCTCTATCTGCCCAATCTCTTGTTGGGATGAAGCAAATGCCGGAAAGGCAGGAGGCAGGAGAGACTTGGGTAATGCAGGGCCTGAGCTGGGAGGCCCCAGATAACTGGGCGTGCTCTGTGAGTTGATGCACACAACTGAGCAGTTTTCATTTGGGGTCCTACTAATCACACATAAAGGAGACCAATGCTTTTGTCACTAATAAACCTCCTGGTCTAAATTAAAAGGAGGATAAAATATGAACCGAGAAGCAGGTTTGCCAAATGGAATAGCTGCAAATGTTTTCCAGCAAAGTTTATCACCTGGCATCGTACTTTGATTTAGCAGGTCTTGCCAAGATAAACACAGAGATGTGGACAGACCAATGGGGGGCTGGGCTGGGGTGGTGGTAATGGGGGGGATGTGGAAGAAGCTGGGTTTCTTGATGGGAAAATGCTTTTGGACTTGGAGCAAGGTACCAAGGTGGGCAGGGAGGCCACGTGCAGATTTAAAGGCAAGCCAAATGGAGAGAAGTTCCCCCCAAATTACCCAACCCCAAAAACCAAGAACACCAAAACAAACTCTAAGGGATCTAGCAGTAGCAGCAGCATAGCCTCATCGCGCTGAGCAATTTAGAAAGTGGAGGAAGGAGGAGAAATAGGGAAGGAAGAGGAGGGGAGAGGGAAGGGAGGAAAAAAAAAAAAAGCAAAACAAACTAAATAAAACCACAAACAGAACAATATAAATAAAAATAAACAAACCAATAACAGAATAAAATTTGTAACTCCTTTTTTTTTTTTTAATTTCACAAAAGTTTTCACAAGGACAACGGTATAGAAGAAAACCCCCAGCAGTGGCTAGGTCATGCAGAACCATTAATTGTCATACCTTGGCCCATTCTATTCATCCTTGTTGCACTTTAGAGAGAGAAGTAAGCTATGTGAGTTTTACAATGCTTTTAAACTGTCATATTTCCTGTTGAGCACTTTAACTGGCACATTCTTATAGTTATAAATGTTCTATGGGCACAACTTTATAACCTCCTTTGCAAAGAATGCATGAAAAGCTCTTCAGGATCCCAAACTGGGGTATATGTGTGTGTATATATATACACACATATATGTATATATATGTGTGTATAGATATATATAGAGAGAGATAGTTCTATATAAAAAGATAGTTATACATAATATAGAAATCGATGTATATAGGGAAAAAATAATTTGAAAAAAATTCTTCCACTCATAGGGCTTTTTAACATCCATGTTTGCAATTTTGCCCCACCCCATTCCTGGTCTGAATACTGTACTGCCCTGTCTTTGGTATGGGGGCAGAGGTTCAGACTGAGGCTCACCATTTTGTCAGTAAAAGTGCTTGTCAATTCACACAGCAAGCAAATCTCCAAAGCTATCATGCTTGGGGGGAGAGAGGGTCCGAAATCTAAACTCAAAGCATTCACCATAAAAACACCTTTTTAGAGATGGTATAGGTGTGGCTTTTTCTCCTCCCCTCCACCCCTATTCTGCTCTATGGAATTTTTTTTTTAAAGTAGACATTTCAAATCGGTATACACCAGCCCAGGGCTAGTCCACACATACATGAATTCAGTTCCAGTGGAGGTGACCGATTTGAAAGAACTACCACCCTGTCCAAAGCCTGATTTGCGTGCATACAACATCTAACAACTATATATTGAAAAGGGGATTTTTCTACCTTTCCTCTCATGCTTACTAACTTAAAAAGGAAAGAAGGAAAACAAAAGAAAAAAAATTACACCAAAATGTGTTTGGCTCACTGTTGCACACTTCTCCCCCACCTCGTGATGACAAGGAGCAGCTCGCTGTTGTTGTCATTCGCCTGAGTGAATCGGTGTGTTCAAGAAACTGGGAAGCGGGTTTCCCACTAGCTCCCTGCTTTGGGTCAGCACCATGCAGCTGGGCCAACAGTCTGAGGCGGTGGCTAGCTTTTGTCTTTGTTGTGTCAACTGTGGCTCGATTCCCCCTACCTTCTGATTTATTTAGCATGTCAGCTCCTAGAAAAACATGATCTGCTGCTGGGTTTATCTTCCTCATGCTCTACCGCGGCCCCAGCCCTTGCTCCTACCTGGCATCGGGGCCCTAGCTAATCAAACAAAGGGGAGTAAAAAGGTCCCCTGAGAACGCATGGAAAAATACTCGCTCTTTCCTGAGCATTATTTATTCTGTACATAAGGTAAGTAATTCACCTTTTAAAAGATGTAAAAGTCCCAGGAAGGCAGTTTTTAATGACTTACATCTGATATTTATGATACATAAGGCTTTTCATCCCAAATGTCAAAAGTGAAAGAAAAAAAAAATAGCTAGTCATATGGCATAAGGAGACAGCATAACAATTTAATACGCAATCAAACCTCTGTTCACTTAAATTAAATGACTAGAATTTGATACAGCCACTAATGGGATACTATTCTTTCCTCCACAGTAAGGGCAGAAACGTTCACACGAACTCCCAGAGGAAGCGAGCTCCGGGACAAAAAGGCCTTGGTGAGTAAAAAATCTTGGATGTTCTCTTATAAAAGCAGGTGCTTAATAATCATCTACACAAATGGCGAAAGCCTTTTAAATGCTTTGCTAGACTTCAGCCCAGAGAGTGGAAACAATCGATATGTTTTGGTTGCTCGTTTCAAATAAATGTGTATGTATATATTACTGCATGTGTATTACAAAAAAAAAAAAAAAGAAGGAAGGAAAACAACAACAAAATCAAAACCCGAAGCACCCTGATAATCCTGGTAAATCAGAACAAACTTTTCTTCTACGTTGACTAAGCTTGCTTTGCATAACTGACATCGATCACAGTGGCTCTCCTCTACTCTGCGAACCGCTTCCTGCAGTGAGCTGTTTATGTCTGGAGCATGCCTTTCGGTTATTTCTCCCCTAGAATCATAAATAACTTTTGGTCCTTCTGCTTATTTGCTGTTGTGCTCAAGGGTTTTATGGTGGTGAAATAAAAATGACAACCACATGCACACTATCATACATATGCAAATATGTGTAAAAAAAAAAGGGGGGGGACTACAGGGGAAAAGGGGGAAAGTTACTGTTGGAAACACCCACTGGGGAAATGAGTGGCAGATACAGTTTCACACACGGTGGCAGTGGCTACACATATCAGAGGCGCTCTTCCTGCACGTACTTCTGTTTGTCTCGGGACTCCCGGGACTTGGGTCGGTTCTGTCGGTTTGCCGTGGACGGGATGGAGTGCACGGAGGAACTCTTCTTGCTGGAGGACTGGGACGAGTGGGAGGAATGGGAAAGGCTGGCCCGGGACTGGCCGGCGTTGTGGTCGAACTGCATCAAGCAGAAGATCAGGTCTGTCGGCACGAGCTCAAACTCGTACGGGGGGTTGGTGATGACATACCTGCACGGGAGAGCAGAGGGGTCAGGGCATGAGGATAACTGGGTGCATAGTTCACCCCCCTCTGAACCAAGAGGCTCCTCGGGTCTTGAAGAGCATCTGGAGGATGGGCTTCTAGCTGGTCCAAGGCCTTCAACATTGTCTTCCAAGCTGAACTAAACCTTCCTCTCTTTGGCTCGGGGCGGGAAGCCCACACGAGGTCTGGCAGAGATGCTGAATTAGTGCCTATGACAGGAGAACCAAACTGTGCTTCCTACGGTCCACGTGCCCCTTCCAATTCAATATCAAGTTCAAGTCTGATTCTGAGTGGCCCAAATGCACTGCAGCTTTTGTTCCAGACACACACAGGATCAAAAAAAAATTTACTGTTTCCTCTATAGTAGTACACCTCGAAGTGGATCCTCAAGCCGGACATACCAGGAGTCTCACTTCTGGCTATATACTATAATCTCTATACGTTAAAAAAAATTATCTATCTTTTCAATCCAGAGCAATTAAATCAGAGAAATCAGAATATTTTTAAAAAGTACCCCTGGTGATTTTTTTTTTTTTTTAAGATTTTATTTATTTATTTGTCAGAGAGAGGGAGAGCGAGAAAGTGAGCACAAGGCAGGCAGAGGGAGAAGCAGGCTCCCTGCTGAGCAAGGAGCCTGATGTGGGACTCGATCCCAGAATGCTGGGATCATGACCTGAGCCGAAGGCAGCTGCTTAACCAACTGAGCCACCCAGGCATCCCACCCCTGGTGATTCTAATGTGCAAGCAAAGCTGAAAAATACTCATCTTACAGCGTTGTTTCTGGAGGTGTAATATACAGACACACTGAGTTTGGTAATTCTATGACATACTTTTAATTTAGGATCACTGTGAATTTATTTTAATGCAATTTAAAAAATATAAAGAATATAAAGAAAATATAAAGAATTAAATATATAGAACATACAAACTGTTATATTTTTCTGCTTAAATTGATAATACATAATTTTCTTGAAATAAATACATAACAGTTTAAAAAGTCCATTAAGGGGCGCCTGGGTGGCTCAGTGGGTTGAAGCCTCTGCCTTCGGCTCAGGTCATGATCGCAGGGTCCTGGGATTGAGCCCTGCATCAGGCTCTCTGCTCAGCAGGGAGCCTGCTTCCTCCTCTCTCTCTCTGCCTACTTGTAATCTCTGTCTGTCAAATAAATAAAATCTTTTTAAAAAACAAATAAATAAAAAGTCCATTAAAAATATAGTCAGTAAAAATACAGGAATCTAAGATATGGCAGAGGAACCATCTAGCTTAAACACTAGCAATATGAAATATCTATTAGGGACCAACAGAATGATCCCAGTAGCTGGAGTTTAGAGGAGATGCTCCTATTCAGGAACTAACCTATAAAACTTGATTTCTTCCCACAATATCTTTACATCTGCTATGAGTGATTAAAGAAAAAACCTCCCATAACCTTCAAACTCAGTGTTGGATGTAATGTGTGCAGAGTCAGTTTCGTACTGAGAGCACATACGCAAGTATGCACTGTCGTCATTGTGGGGGACAAGAGAAGGTATTTCTGTCTCTGCATTTGGGTTGGGAGAGCAGAGTGGAAATATACTCACCTCTTCGTGCATTGGCTGGGGGTGCTGAGGTGAGCATCTCTCAGCCGGTAAATTCCAAAACAAAGCATATTATATGTTTTCAGAGCTTTGCAGAACAGATCACCATAACAACCACCATCCTGGGAGACAAGAAAAGAACAGAGAGAAACGTTTTTATTTGTCTGAAAGCAGAAGTCCAGGGGGAACAGACCCTTTTCATGAAAGCTCATGTTGGTGTCTCCTGAATTGGAGGGTCTGTCCCAAGGGACCGAGGCTAAAGAAGTCATTGTGATTAACAGCTTACATCTAACACTGGTCATTTTTACAGATCAGATAATGATGGGGTTCTCCGCCAGTTCTCTCCAGTTTTCCATCTGTAGCAATGAGAGCCCTGAAGAGAGTGTGCCTCTCCCTCATTTGAAGTGAGGGTATAAAGCCTGAAGGTCTCAGATGTATGTTTGGCTGGGAAGAACCCAGCTCTGCGAAATGGTGATTATGTTTAGCCCCGGCTCAGCTGTAATCACTGTGATCTGACCGTGTTGTCAAAACAGCTCGAGTGATAATTAAAATCACTGCAAGGAGAAAAGACCCCACCAGGTACTATGGTGACAGACTCTTTCAGGGAAAGGACTGTGTGAAAAGCACAATTTACAGACCTCAGAGATGGCACTGGTGGTAGAGAATGTGTTTCCCCAGGAGGCAGGGAGCTGCAGGCTGTATAAGTGGGATTCACAGTCCTAATCAGTTCACGGTCACCTTCCAAGGGTCTGGGGCCTGATGTGGAATGTGAAAGCAAACCCACTCACTTGGAAATACTGGCTTCATGCAGCCAGGTGGCTTTAGGTGGGTATCGGAACAGGAAGGGCCCTGAAGAATGACTTCTCTGGGAATAAAGTGGCTGCCTTTTTCCTCCTTGTCATTGGAATTTCCACATGGCCATCGTATGACAGAACACAAATGGGGCCAAATCTTACCATTATTTAAAGTCTTTACCTTCCAACGTTCATCAGTAAGTCAATGACAGATCCCAGTCTAACAGGTCCTTGCCCATAACCACACCAAAATATGGTGCAAGTCAGCATCAGGGTTTCAGAAGAAATAAAGTGACCCTTTCCCTGGGCAACACTATTATTGAACAATAAATACATTTGTTCCCAAGACTTGTGGCTCCACCCCTTGAACACATCCATGGAGGTGGAATAAGGCTGAGAGTCATGGTCAAGACTGCAGACTTTGGCCAGAGTATGTGAACCCAGTGGGTGCGTGGGGCCTATAGGACCACAGGTACTGGTCATCCCCTCTGCGGCAGGGAAGGTGTGGAGGAGAGTGACTTGGTACAGCCTCAGAAATGCGAAGACCCAGGTCCAAAATTAGAGCCATTAAAGGATCCATGTGAGATACTGTTTGTTTGGCCAATGGCTCCAGGTGCATGTTGGTGTTTTAAAAACTTCCAAGCCCTGAGTCATACCCAGATACAAACACTCTGAATCCTGGGAACTGGGCATGGCCATCGGTGGTTTCTAAAAGTTCCTCATGGCCTAGCAATGTGCCTTTGGGGTGCAGCAGCCCTGAGGTATGTAAGACCCTGTGGAAAGGGGCTCCCGGCCTTGGCCGCATGCTGGAACCACCCGATGCCTCCTGGCTCATGATAGAAGACACCTACAGGAGTGAGGAAGCCCACAGGCTCCGAAGCCAGGATTTTTGGTTCAGATCCCTCATGGGTCCAATCCTCTCTCTCTGAGCCTCAGTCTCCTTAGAGTGTCTGATGATAGAAACTATGTCAAAGGATTGCCGTGGGAATAAAAACGATTAATTGTATGTAAAGCACAGGGCCTGCTAGCCAGTAAACCATAAACATCGCCTTGTAGTTATTTACCATAGAAACAAGAAAAGGCAGGTGCCTAGCTCCTCACTCTCTGGCACCCCATTCACTCAGCCCAAGTTTTTTCCCAGTCAGTGGGCTCAGGGAACCTCTACATCATGAACTCACCCCCAAGTCCGCAAAGGGTCCATCCAGCAGCGCTAACTGGGCCACGCGGCAGCGGTCCCTGTTGGCCAGCGTCTGGGGGGTGCTGTAGCCCCCTCGAAGTGCATTCTCCTCAGCAATCAGAGCCTCAAGCTCTGGCGTGGCTCCCCCGGTCACAAGGGTCCGGATCAGAGTCAGGATATTGTCATTGAAGTATGTCTGGGGAGAGAGTTGGGGGGAGAAAGTCCTTTAAGCAAACACCCTAACATCACAACAACAGACATCCAAATTACAACTTTTCTTGGTATCGCTTGTTTAAAGTTCTGGCCTGTCTCTTCAAATAATTTTATGTGGGAAGTGAAAAGACAGCAGCCTCCAATTATTCCATTCTTTTCTCTCCTACTTGGTTCTGCCAGGAGAGCCTGACTTTTAAAAACCACTTCAGGGAACTTTCATTAAAGGGCTGAAATCTAAATGGTTCCTGTTTACCGTGATTGGTGTGACTAGGGATGCAAATGCTGCTTCCTCTCTTCAAGTCCCGCAGGTCTGCTAAGGGACTTTGGATTTGTGACACAAAATGCAGCCTGCCCAGGCGCTATCCCAAGTACAACTACCTCTGAGGTCCTGTCACCTTATGCCAGAAAGTAGCCTTCCCCAGCAGTGGCAAAACTGCTTCCTGTGTTGGAAAGAGATGCCAAGAGCATCACGGAGGCCACACGTTCTACAATACTACGTGCTTTGATAATAATCTAACCCAGAAATCTCTATCGATTAAATATGCCAGAAAAATTATGAGGAGGAGGATGCCCTGGTGTGTGCACTTTTTTTTTTTAAGTCATCTCAATAATCTGAGGTAAATATAGCACATTAGAGAAGTTTCCCTCAATTGTACATTTGTCTCACATCTGAAACATAACAGGTCTGTCAGGAACAAAACAATGGGAGTTTAAAAAAATGAATAGTGTGTCAAATAAAAGAGCTCAAAAAGACATTCGTCATCCAGACTAATTTGAGAAAAATCTCAAGGGTCTGCATTCCATTTTTCATGGTAAGAAGAAATCAAGCAGGTGAAATGAATTCAAACCAGAGTTTGCCTGTGGCTTCTGACGGCGTACGGACCTTTGGGAGTAGGTTAGGAAAGACAGCTACATTTCACCTCCGTGATTTCTCAGACACTTGACCTGGCAAAATGTAGTGGGAAATAAACCAGATAAGGATGGGTTCTCTTGCTGGGGGGCCATCACTGATTCTCTGTCTTGGAGGAGGTTGACTAACCAGTTCTAGGCTTTGATATTCTCAACTGCAAAATTAGCACAGTCATTAAGATCAAGTTCATATGCAAATTATTCCAGGAAGACCTCTGAGTTCAGATGATAGCTGTTCCCCGGCCGGTTCACTTTCCTCATTGAAATACTTGAAAAACCTAAAACCCGCAGAGCAGAGTGATAGCCAATTCCAACAGCAAAGAAGACTAGGAATGTTACTCAGGAGTCAGCTAAGGAGAACGCATATCTCCTCCACCAGAGCTCAGATGTGCCCTGGGGCACAGCAACAGGACAAGGACTAGCACAGGGGGAACTGTTGCTGTCTGGGTCAAGGGAAAAGAGTCAGGCGGTGGGTTTAACGTTGGCTTCACGTCTTAGCCACTGTGTGACCATGGAAAGTTGTCGTTTTTGTGCCTCAGTTTCATGATCTGTAAAATGTATGAACAGAGTGGTTATAAGGCCGATAGAACTAATACACGTGAGGCACGTTGAATAGTGCTTGGTGCCCAAGCAGCACTGATAAATACTTATGACCTGACAGCAGGGACTCTGGAGTTTTGCTCTGTGAGAAGACTTGTCAGCTCATACTTGGCCTTCCTTTCATTTACATTTGGGGTGAGGGATGGGCAAACCAAGGCCATGTATTTCATCCTTGAACCTGTACTTCTCAATCTGCTTCCATTTGAAGACCCTGTTTGGGCTCAGGAATGACACAGCAAAGGCACCAGGGCCCTGCGTCCTGGGATGTGACAGTAGTAATGGGAAGAGCCATCAGAGGTGTGTTCTAGTGGAGGTGGCCTTGGGGCACACCCGCAAGCATTTCCAAAATTTTCAGAGGTAAATCCTCTTCCATTACAGTCAGCACATCGGTAGAAGCAGGAGACCCCTCCTTAACACTGTGGCATGATAAATGTGTGAGTGCTGGGCATGGAACTTTGACAAGGGCCTTTGCACTCTAATTACCCCTTTAGATCAAGACCAAGAGGAGGAATTTATCAGCTTGCAAAGGGGGCGACAGAATATTCATGACCTTGTATACCGAACTCTGTTTCTTTGGTAGAGAGAAATAAAGATAGAGAGAAATTTAAAAAGCCAGTATAAATATTTTTTAAAGGGAACCACAGTATTTAAGATATAAAAGAAAAACATCATTTTGACTGATTAAATGGTTGCTGGAAGAAGTAAAAGAAAAAAAAGCATCCATTTTAGAATTCAATTTTTAAAAAATATAGTTTCTATAAGAAGTAAAAGATGAGATTATAAGAAAGCAGACTTCATATAACTTACCCAATTATTTTTATGTAAGATATTTAAATTAAAATGGATGTGATTAGAGATAATTAAAAGAATCCAATATTCTTTTGTGACAAAAACATTCAATAAACTAGGAGTAAAAGGGAATTTCTTCAACCTGATAAGGGACATGTGTCAAAAACCCAAAGTTAGCAGCAGACTTATTGGTGAAAAACTGGATGCTTTCCCCTCAGAATCAGGAACAATACAAGGAAGTCAGCTCTAACCACTTCTATTCAACACAGCACTGGGAGCTCTAGCCAAGGCTAGAAAGAAATGAGGTAACCATATCAGAAAGAAAGAGGTAAAACTATCCCAGTTTACAGAGAATATGATGTTATGTATAGAAAATTCTAAGGTATCTCTTAAAATTCAATTATAGATAATAAATGTGTTCAGCAAGTTTGCAGGTACAAAGTCAATATACAAAAAATCATTTGTATATCTATACACTTGCAATGAATACAAGAATAAAATTAAGAAATTCTATTTATAATAGCATCACAAAGAATAAACACTTAGGAATAAACTTAACCAAGGAAGTGCAAGATTGGTACACTGAAAACTATAAAATATTGTTGAAACACATTTTAAAAAATCTAAATAATGGAAAGGCATCCCATATTTATGGATTGGAAATCTTAAAATTATTAAGATAGTATTCCCCCCCACAATTTACAGATTCAGTACAATCTCTGTCAAAACATCCAAAACCATTTTTATAGAGATGGAAAAGCTGAGTCTAAAATTCATATGAGGGGCACCTGGGTGGCTCAGTTGGTTAAGCATCTGCCTTTGACTCAGGTCATGATCCCAGAGTCCTGGAATCAAGCCCTGCATTGGGCTCCCTGCTCAGTGGAGAGTCTACTTCTCCTCTCCCTCTGTCTCTTGCCTCGCTTGTGCTTTCTCTCTCAAATAAATAAAATCTTTAAAAACAAAAAAAGAGTAAAATTCATATAAAATTGTAAGCACTCCAAGTAACCAATCTAAAAGAGATACAGTTGAAGGACTCACACTTCCTGATTTCAAAACACACACACTACTACTATAATCAAAAGAGTATAGTATTGACATAAGGACAGACATGGGATTGAAATGAGAGTCCAGAAAGAAGCTCATATGCTTTTGCTCAATTGATTTCAACAAGGGTACCAAGACCATTCCATGGGGAAAGAACATAGTCTCTTAAACAAATGGTGCTCAATTCTTGGGCTTCCATATTCAGAAGAATAAAGTTTAACCCCTACCTCACACCATATATAAAAATTAATTCAAAATGGATCAAAGACCTAAAGTAAGAGTAAGAGCTAAAACTATGAAACTAAAGAGTAAGAGCTAAAACTATGAAACACTTAGAAGAAAACATAAGGTAAATTGTCATGAACTTTGATTTGAAAATGAATTCTTGAATATGACACTCAAAGCACAGGCAACCTCCTCAAAAAAGATCAATTCAACTTCAAAGTTAAAAATTTTTGTGCATCAAAGTACACTCCACAAAGTGAAAAAAAAAAAAAAAACCTTACAGACAGAGAAAATATTTGTAAATCATATTTCTGATACAGTATCCAGAATATATATATAAGATTACATATATAAAATCTTCTATCCAAACAACATAAAGACATATAACCCAATTTTAAAAATGGACAAAAGACTTAAACATTTATCAAAAAAGATAAATGCCCAACAAAATTAATGAAAAAATGCTCAACATCACTAGTCATCAGGAAAATGGAAATCAAAACCACAAGAGATACAACTTTACAACCACTAGGGTGGCTATAATCAAAAAGACATAATAAGAGTTGGTGAGGATGTAGAGAAAGTGCAGCCCTGACATTTCACTCTGCTGGTGGGAATATAAAATGATACTGCCACTTCAAGAAATAGTTCAGCAGTTCCTCATATGGTTAAACAGAGTTATATAACCCAGCAATTCTACTTCTATATATACACCCAAGAGAAATTTAAAAAATATGTTCATATGAAAACCTGTATACATGTTTATAGCAACATTATTCATAACAGCCCAAAACGGAAATAGTCTAAATGTCTATCACCTAATGTATGCATAAATAAAGTGTGTTGTATCTGTGCATGAATATTATTCAGTTTTGTGAATGTTATTCATACAATAAAAATGTACGAAGTACTAACACCTTGGAAACGTTAAGTGAAAGAAGTCAGTCACAAAAGACTACATATTGTATGATCCATTTATAAGTAATGTCTAGAAGAAGCAAATCTATAAAGATAGGTAGTACATTAAGTACCAAGCTTAGGGCTTGGTCGGGAGGGGGAAGAGTTTAGTGGGGGATGCTTCAGGATATGGAGGGGTTTTTTGAAGCAATGAAAAAATGTTCTAAAATTGACTGTGGTGATGGTTGTACATATTTGTAATTACACTAAAATCACAGAATTGTACATTTTAAATGGGAGCATTGCATGGTTATTAATTATATCTCAATGAAGGTGTTAAAAGAGAAATAGTTAAAAAGATAACTAAACTTACAATGGCCAGATTTTTATCCATTAAGCAATAATTAATAATACTGTATTGTAACACTGAAAAATTTAAGTAGGTAGATCTCATGTGAAGTGTTCTTACCAAAACAACAGTGAAAAAGAAGCATTATGCTGTAGAACTAAAAATCACAT